TCAGGTGCCATGCGCTGTGAGCAGGGTCGCACCCGCTTGGCTGTGACTCCGTTTTAAGCTGCCGACACTAGGAGGAGGCAGTGCCGTCGTCACGGATGGGCTCCTGTGAGAAGGGCTGGGGCTTACAGGGCCTTCTGCCCCCAGGCCTGGCTCCTGCAGGCTCCGGAGGCTGTGAGTGGCCCTCAGTGAACTGTGGGTCTGTGTGTGGCCCTGGCTTCAGCAGCCGCCCCAGTCTGTTCTGGGTGGATTTTCCCCACCCGAGGTCACTGGTGCACCCAGAACCCCCCCGCCAACCTGCTCAGCACCACCGTGGCGTACCTCGTTCCTCCCGAGGACCAAGCAGCCGCAGCTCCCGCTCAATGCCCACCTCTAGGCCTCACGGCAGCTGTCTTGCTATTGGTTTCCTACCAGGTGGTTCTTATCCCCAAGCCACCTTCCTTGTCTGCTCTGAGGCAGCCAGGTCAGCACGGAGCCCCCTCGGGCTCTCCTGGGTGTGGAGCCGCGAGTGCAGAGGGACGGCCCAGGCCAGCTCTGGCCCCAAGGTCTCCGAGGCCAGGGCTGGTGGCGCAGGACACACCCAGGGCGCAGGGTCCCAGGCTTAGGGATCAGCAGGGATGGCTCCCCGACCACCAGGACCCCGGCAGGATGGGCCTGGAGCTTCCGCAGGGAGATTCACTGTGGAAACGTCAGCCGCGTTTGTTTATGAGTTGTGACTCTGCTTCTGGTGAAGTAAGTTTCACACTCGGGTGTTTGCATTCAGAAAGCAGATCCCAGTTTTAAAAACCTAAGTTTTGTTCTCTAGAAAATGACATCAACTTTAGACATCAGATTGCCTGCCCAGCACAGCCGTTTGCCCTCCAGTCACAGTGACAGCGGGTGCTGCCCTGATCACTGGAGGGTGCCTGGTGCTGCTGCTCACCGCGCCCTCACAGACGCTCACTGTCGCCGTTCTGTCTTCCACAGGAGGAAACCAAGGCCCAGAGAGGTGAATTAACTGGCTAAGGGCCCACAGCAAAGGCGAGGGTGGAGGCAGCGTCGACACAGGCTGGTCTCTCCCAGGCAGAAAGGGGCCCAGGACACTGGGTTAATCGAGCGGGGCTGCGGTGGGCCGGGGCTGCGGTGGGCGTCAGGAGGGACGGCCCGGGGGCTGTCGTCTGCCTGCTCTCCCAGGGCCCCGGGGCTTCAGTCGGCCTCCCACTCTGTGGCCGTCCGGCCAACCACCAGCTGCATTCTCAAGAACTGTTTTCAAACGCTGGAGCTGCTCAGTGGAAGAGTCAAGGCTGCGTTTACTGTTTGTGGGATCTATAAACAGCCAGTTATTCAGCTCCCCAAGCCAGAGCGCTGCCTCGCACGCACGCAAGCCCCATGGAGCGGCCCCTGCGAGTGATCTGGCTCCAGGAGGCCGGGCCAGCTGCCCCGACGCCCGCCCGGTGCCCGCTCGCGTGACTAGCCGCCGTGTTGTGGCTCCGTAACCGTGGCAACGGCTCTCAGGGGAGCACAATGCTCCCAACTTCCCTTTACTCCGAGGAGGGGCAGCCAGGGGGCTGTGGAGGGTTGTTCCTTTTCCCTCATTTTCCCTCTGCCGTGACCTTGACAAAAATACTCTTTGAAGTACTTGCCGGCTATTTTTTTCTGCCCTGGAACTGGAAGAGATCAGGATATTTAAAGGGTTTGACAGAGGAAGTCCCGGCTTTCTCAGAACATTTGCCCTGTTCCCTGTGGTGCCTGGGGAAGAGCACGGCTCCGGCCTCACCTGCCCCGGCCTCAGGCTCCGGCCTCACCTGCCCCGGCCTCAGGCTCTGGCCTCACCTGCCCCGGCCTCACCTGCCCCGTTGTTCTTGCGAAGTGTGCCGTTTCCTGACATTCAGTAACAGCACATAGATGTGATCTTTTTCCCCTTAAAAAAAGTGCAGCCTTAACCTTAGAGCCAAATCCTTTTTTCCATTTGGAAAAGTGATCTCATTTTCCATGGACCATGTTAAAAAAAAAAAAAACTTTTGTAGGATTAGAAAGGCAGAGGAAGAGAAAACAAACAGACTCTCGAGATGCATATTTGAAAGATGGGCCCACATGTGTAAAAGTATTTGGCGTGACAGTGCTGGACCAGAAGTCAATCTGATATTGAATCCATATGACACAGCAAACAGCATTTTATGGTCTTTAAAAAAAATTCTGCCTTGTGAGTTAAAATTAAGGTTGCTTTTGGTTGTGACTAATCTCATAAAATCTTTTTCAAGAAGACATTTTATATACTCAAGCCTTGAAAATGTCTTTGGTCTTTGAACTATTATTAGTAGGACATCATCAGTATGTGGCAACCGCTGAATTGGGAAAAGCTGTAGCAGGAGCTGGCGGGCACAGACCCTTCCCGGCAGTGCCAGGAGGGCTGGAGGCGGAGGACCCGAGGCCCTGTGCACCACCCCCCCAGCCTGTGCAGGCCGGAGCGAGGCCCCTCAGTGTCACCACTGCCCGGCTCAGAGCAGGCGGCTGATGGCAACTCAGATGTGTATAAGAGACAGCCCGAGCGAGGCCCCTCAGTGTCACCACTGCCCGGCTCAGAGCAGGCGGCTGATGGCAACTCTTTGTGTCTGCTGAAAGGGTGTCCCTTTCAGCAGACACCCCCCAGGCCACACGACCATGGCTGCTTCACGTTCTCACCTGTTTTCTAATGACCCCTTGGTGCACCCCACGTCATCTCACCCTGTCTCTGCCTAAATCCCAGGGGAGGGAGGGGCTGCAGGGGTCTGAGGGGCGGGTGCCAGCCTGAGGCACAGTGGTGGTTTGGGTCTCCCAGTTCCGGACACAGTGGCTGACCCCTAAGATGGGAGCCGCCATACAGAAAGGGCGTTGACGCCATGGGTGCCGGCTCTGGGCCAGGCTTTCTGGGTTGCCCGGTGTCTGCATCACCACATGGGAAGGGGGTGGGATTGGCCCGTGGTCCCTCCGTGGCCACAAAGTCCGTGACCTCCATTGGCACCAGCCCAGGGCCCGTATCTTGCTGAGCACAGGCAGGGATGATCCTGGGCCCTCGTGGATACTCCCCACGGTCATCTCCAGGCAGGACAAGAACTCTAGGAGTTCCAAGGTGAAGCTGTGAACCCAGCACAGGCAGGTGCGGTGGCAAAACGCAGGTCAAGTGTGCCTGGCACCATCGTTCCACAGGATGCCAGCTCTGCGGGACACAGAGTGTGATTTAACCCTCACCACAGCCTCTGAGTCACCTTTTATCCCAGGTGGGGATTGCAGGGAAGAGCGAAGTGTCGTGAAGTGATTTCAGCCTTAGATATCTTCCTTCTGGAAGTGCAGCCGCAGCAGCAGTGTTCCCAGCCAAAGCAAGGCGGCAACCAAGCCTCCGCTGACAGGTGGGCGGGTTGGCACGATATGGTATCTACCTACAGAGGGGAGTATTCAGCCTTAAAAACGGTGGGGCAGTAAAAGAACTACACAGACAGGACTACACCAAACTGAAAAGCTTCTGCCCAGCAAAGGAAACCATCCACAGAATGAAGAGGCAGCCTACGGAATGGGAGGACGCATTTGCCAACCATACGTCTGACAGGCGGGACAGACCCCAAATACATAAGGAACGCAGCCAACTCAAGAGTAAGAAAACAACCCGATTAAAAACCAGGCAAAGGACCTGATAGGTGCTTCTCCAAAGGAGACACAGAATGGCCGGCTTGTACGTGGAAAGCTGCTTGGCATCACCAGGCACGGGGAAGTGCAAATGGAAACCGTCAGCGAGCTCATCTTGCACCATCAGGATGGCTGTTTCAAAAAGATGAAGGCAGTCGTTGGCGAGGGTGCGGAGAGAAGGGGACTCGTGCACTGCTGGCGGGAATGTAAATTAGTGTAGAGCGATGGAAGGCTGCATGGAGCTTCCTCGAAAAATTAAAAATGGAACTTCCGTGTGACCCAGCAGTGCCTCTGCTGAGCATTTACCCAAAGGAGCTGAAATCAGAATCAGAGACTCCCTTGCCCCCGTGCTTGTCGAAGCAGTGGCTGCAGTAGCCAGGACGTGGAGACAGCGTGCACGTCCACCAGTGAATGCACAGGTAAAGAAAATGTTCTGTGTCTACACCGTGGAATACTATTTTACCAGAAAAAGAAGGGAATCCTGGTATTTGCAAACTACGGATGGGCCTGGAGGACATGGCGCTGAGTGAAGTCAGTCATGGACAGACAGTTCTGCGTGATCTCACTCATATGTGGAATCTGAAAAAAGTGGAACTCATAGAAACAGAGAGTTGATGGTTACCAGGGGTGGGGGGTGGGGTCGGGAGGGGCTGAAAAAGGAAGGAAGGAAATGGACAGGCGCTGTGGCTCGGATCCACCTAGAGGACCCTGCGGAGTGAAACAAAGTCAAAGCCTGCTTGATTCGGCTCAGATGAGGTCCGCAGTGGAGGCAAATTCACAGAGGCAGAAAGCGGGTGGGACGCACGGGGCTGGGGAGGGGAGTGGGGGCACGTGTTTAATGCGGACAGTTTTGGTTTGGGAGGGTGGGAGTGTTCTGAAGGTGGATGGTCATGATGGTTGCACAACGATGTGAATGTGCTTAAGGCCACTGAGCTCAAAAGGATTGAAATTTAACCACTTAGGTCAGGCACGAGGGCTGACGCCTGGAATCCCAGCACTGTGGGAGGCCAAGGCGGGTGGATCACCTGAGGTCAGGAGTTCGAGACCAGCCTGGCCAACATGGCGAAACCCTGTCACTACTAAAAATGCAAAAATTAGCTGGGTGTGGTGGCAAGTGCAAACCTGTAATCCCAGCTACTCGGGAAGCTGAGGCAGGAGAATTGCTTGAACCCAGGAGGGGGAGGTTGCAATGAGCCGAGATCGCACCACTGCACTCCAGCCTGGGTGACAGAATAAGACTCTGCCTCAAAAAAAAAAAAAAAAAGAAAAGAAAAGAAAAAAGTACCACTTAACCACTTAAAAATGGTTAAAATTGTATTTTTTTTTTTTTTTTACTTTCAGAAGCGTATTTGTCTTTATTAAAATTACTGATGCAGAACATTGGATTCCTTATCATTTCCATGGTCTTTGTTCAAAGTGTCTCTTTCCTGGGTCTCTTGAGTTTCTTGATACTCCTTCTCTTCCTTTTTGCTCAAAGGACGAAGAACGCACATTAAAACTTTTCCTCCTTGAACAGCTCGTGGTCTAGATGAGAATGGAGCTATTCCAGGCACAGTCTGGAGTATTTGATGAAATATCCCCCAGGCGCGGTCCGGGGTGTTGGATGAAGTATCTCCCAGGTGCAGTCTGGGGTGTTGGATGAAGTATCTCCTAGGCACGGTCTGGGGTATTGGATGAAATATCTCCTCCACTTTATTTTCTTTCTTTTTTTTTTTTTTTTTTTTTGAGGCAGAGTCTTATTCTGTCACCCAGGCTGGAGTGCAGTGGCGTGATCTCCACTCACTGCAAGCTCTGCCTCCCGGGTTCACGCCATTCTCATGCCTCACCGCCACCTCGCCCAGCTAATTTTTGTATTTTTAGTAGAGACGGGGTTTCACCGTGTTAGTCAGGATGGTCTCGATCTCCTGACCTCATGATCCGCCCGTCTCGGCCTCCCAAAGTGCTGGGATTACAGGCGTGAGCCACCGTGCCCGGCCCTCCACTTTATTTTCTGACTCATCTACATTTTCTCCTTTCTTTATAGTTATTCGAACTTGGTGTTTTTATTAATCCATGGCTGAATCTGTTTAGTCTTTGCGTCCAAATCATGTTGTCCAGCATTTGAAGAAACAGTCAGTTCCTTTGTCAGGGCTGGTCCAGTTTTGGGGTTACTGTTCTCCATCTCACTCAGCCTCCGCCGTTCCTGGTGAGTCTGCATTCCTGTCGTGAACTGTCTTCTGCAGGCTCCTTTGAACCCGTCGCAGCTCTCGCTCATCCATGAGTCTAATCACATCTGCTCCATGCATGTTCCCAAATCTTTCCCTTCTCATCAAATACTTGAATAATTCGCTGACTAATTTCTCTTCCAGTGTTACTAAAAGCTGTTTCACTCTTTTTTTTCTTTTTTCCTTCACTCTGGGTATCTTCAGTGGTACTAAAGGCTTTTGCATGATTTAGGAAGGAGAGTCTTGGGGCAGAAGCAATAGGGGACCACTGTGGGGTGCTGTCTTTTGCGCGCTGTGTTTACCAAAACATCTAACACAACTATTTTCAGACTTTATGGTTTGTAGCGTTAACCTCTTTAGAAAAAGAGCAGCCATCCTGTGCGGGGCAGGCGATTGGTACTAAAATGATCATTTTTATGTTATGTATATTTTATTATAATTTTAAAACTTTTTTACAGTTTGGAAAAAACTGTCATGAAAATTCACCCTCTTGGTTGGGTCAGTAATACGAGGGACACGGAAGTCTGGCCTTGGGGGTCCCAGCCTGGTCACATGAGCTAAAACTAAAGTCCCCAAAAATCCTCCAAGAAAGATTTCTTCCAGCTGGCGGGAGGCTGGATGAGAAGGTGTTATGTTTTTAGGTGAAAATCCGAGGCAGCACAGGACATGGTGAGATGATTATCCAGCTTGCTAATCTGCCGGCAGGCACCACCTGCCATTCCTCCTCCGTGCCTTCGAGTAGCGGGCTCAGTCCGTTTCGGGGAGGCTGGCATGAGGCTGTCTTCACACCCCCTGCGGGGTCCATTTCATGTCGGGCTGATTAATCCAGCTACTGGGAGGAAAACAGTGATTTCCTTTCTGTGGATCTTCCCGTGGACGCATTGGATCCTTTATTCAGTGACATAAATAGCTAAGTCTCAAGTGTTCCATAGCCGCCTCCCCCAGAGAAATGCAGCAGGTCTGAGAAGAGAGCCCCTCGGGGAAATCTGGGCAAACCAAGAGCTTGTAAATAGCCCCGAACGGGTCCAGGCAGATTCACCAGACTTTCTGCTCGTGACCCAAAGACGTTAGTATGGAACCTACCCTCTTCCTCAGAGCTGCACGGGAATGAAACGTACAAATACCGCAGTTTCTGGTAGCTCCTTAGAGGCTCCCGTGGATGCAGATGTCCTGCGGGGTCAATTTCCCTCTCTAGAAACGTGGTGGAGTTCAGGGTGACTGGTAACGACGGGCTTCTTGTCTGACGCCAAACCATATAAAGTGTTGGCCTATTTTGTCATCGTGGAGCAGCCTGCGGTGTTGCTGTTTTGTTGTGACAGCTGGGCAGGGGCTCCCTGACGTCTTCCTCCGAGTGGGAGGTGCTTTGTGAGACTTGGGTTTCTTGTTCAGACGCTCAACACAGAGTTCAAATCCCATTGTGAAGTCATCACCTGGCACCTGCACCTCTGTATCCAGAACCAAGCGGGCGGCACACCCTTCAGGTCGGTGGGAGAGAGGGCCTTCGGGTCGCCGGCACCTGACTTTCCAGCAGCCTTGTCCTGCCGCCTGCGACCACCAGCTCCTCCGCTCTCTCCGTCGGTCATAATATCTTACTGCTCCCCTCACCCACTGTTGAGTTGATCTTTGACAAGTATTTATTTTGTATTTTCACGGCACCTGTGACTTTTCTTTTTGGAGACTTTACTGATTGAAAAACGTGGCTTTGCAGCCCAGCAAGCCTCTAGGTCTGAGGCTGCATCCTTCTGGTGTGGCTTTCCTCCTGAATCAGGCGTGGTGTGATGGCATCTGGGGAAGAACACACAGCCTCTGGTTTGAACTGGACCCTGGGTAGTGGTTCAACCTTCCCACACCTGTGACAGCCAACAAGATAGACACAGATGTGTGAAACGCTCTACAGCCACCTGAAGAAGGTAGAAATTCTACAACAAAATTAACCGGGGAAAAAAAACTAGGGAGAAAACAGGAAAGGAAAGGCGTTGCCCAGAAGAAGCCTCTTGCAGTGTGGATGGGAACCTGCCACAGCTGGGCTTGGGCCAGGGGCCCACGGTGTTGCTGGGCACTCGGGCCCCTTCTGCTGCCCCCAGCCCCGCTTCCTTCCAGCCAATGGCTCTGTGAGCTGCCTTTTGTCTGCATTACTTGCAGGAATATGAAGGGACCAGACCAGGATCGCCCCATGTCAGGAGAAAGAGCGTCCCCAATCCCCAGCCCCTACCTCATGGGCTAAATCACCCCACGTGGGAGGCTGGGAGGCACATTTTTGTGTAAGTGAACTACTCTGAACAGAATCATAATTGCACTGGTAAGGAAGAATGGAAAGTTGTCTCAAAATAAAGGGGGATCAGGTGTCTGGTCCACTTGTTTTTAGAAGCGTATTTCAGGAAAACATTAAGAAACAGAACATACTCAAGCTGGTTAAGCCATTCAAGAGCCTAGAAAGGGATGGAAAGCTGTTCAGTTAATTCTGAGAGGTTAGGAAAATGCTGGTGCAAAAATACGATGCAGGCAGCTCAAAGGAGAAACGCAGCCTCTTCTCCCCTGTGAAACTGCACAAAACAATTCCAGATAAAATAATAGCAACTGACTCCCATCTGTGTTACAAAAGCATGGGCGGCTGCAGTTACAGTGGTCGAGGAGTAAGGTGGGACTCCGATGTTGGGAAATACCCATAAAATTAACTTAGCAAATTAATATACTAAAGGAGGAGAGTGGCAGCTTGTAGATGATCCTGATTTAACAGGCAATAATCATGTTTCTTAATATAGGCACCAGTTATTGAAAAGCCTGTCTCTGTCCCCGTGATTTGACGTGACACCTTTTTCATGCATCAAATTTCCATTTGTGCTTGGACCCGTTTCTGGACGTCCCATTCTAGTCCATTGATTGATGTGTCTGTTCATGCTCCGTGATTTAATTATAGAGGACTGACAGTATTTCTTAGATGTTGAATGAGATGCTCCTGTCTCCTGGCTTTTTTTTTCTTCCTGTGCTTTTGTAGCTATCGTTGCATATTTATTTTCATATTTAGTATAAACCTACCAGCTGCGTAATCAGTTTGATGCTATGTTTATTAATTAGTATTACAGCATATTGATAGATTCACTCAGGAGGAACAGGCGTCTGTAGGATGTTGACTCATCTTGTGCACTGAGGTGTGTCTTCCCATTTGTTCAAATATAATTATGCAAGATTGAGATATGTCTTCCCATTTGTTCAAATATAATTATGCAAGATTGAG